GAACTCGATCATCTTCCATACAACGTTTCTAATGATTTGTTTTTCCTTTTCTCTCCTTTTTTTTCTTCAAAAAAACAATAAAGGTGCCGATCTCAAGCATTGGTGGGTTGGGTTCAGCTGGGAGTTCGGCTCAGAATGGAACCGGAAAACCGCATTTTGTTGCCGTTACAACCCTTGAAGATGCGCAAGCCGTGAGATGCGCGGAATTCCACCCCGATGGGAAAGTTTATGCTGTGGGTTCCAACTCCAAAACGTTGAGGGTTTGCGCTTACCCGAAGCTGCTTGATTTACGGTGAGTTTGGCTGATGATTGCATCCTGACGAAGAAATTCTCCGTTGAAAAGTTATGATTGATTGGGTGATGGATGGATCGACGGAAAATTTTTTGTTTTGTTTTTGATCCGTTTCTCTTGTTGTCCTTTGTTATATCGATGTCTCAAGAATTGGGAGTGTTTGATTGAGTACGTTTCTGGACGTTCCGGAAAAAAAGGCGAGGTGCTTCAGACGTCGTTCTTTATGAGTACAGGACAGTACAGTGCAGTACTTTATGCTTGCAAATTCTTGTAGCATTGCAACGATACGCATGAGATGGAAAGCATTTGCTATTGCTAATCCAAGTGTTCCTGCGATGATACAATTTCAAGTTTCCACGTATTTTGAACTTGCCCATTGTACATTTGACACAACGATAAAAAACCAAAGTGATTTTTGCACTAGGATTTCATTTCCCTTCTTATTCGTTTCATAAATCACGTTAAATTTATTTTCTTATCCATTATCTTCGTATTGCTATGTGTACTTGGTCATCTGTCAATTAAAAAAAAAATGCAATCGTTCAGTGAGATCAGTTAGGTTTGTTATTCAGAAACCTACTGATGTTGAACAAGAGTTACCTTATACACCAGGTTAGTTTTTGTTGCATGTTCGTTATTTATTTGATGAGGCTAGTTCAGTTGATGGAGTACGTTAATCAGTGTTTGGCTTTTAATTGGCATGTGTTAGACCAAGTTAATTCAGTGAAAGGCTAGGTTAGTTGTACAGTATCCTGAAATTAGGTTAGTTTGGTTTGAGATTTTATACTGCATGTACAAGTTGAAAACTCTTGTCCTGCTCTTGGCCAAATTCCTATTTTTCTAGGAAAATTATAATTGAGAAGCGGAACAAGAGGAAACCCGATGCTTTAGCAAAGAACCGTTGTACAGTACAGCACTGTACAGTATTTATTCGAGTACCACTTGCAGAAAAAAACAGGAACCAAAGAAATGAGGTGGGCGTCATTGTCGGAAAAATTGTCTAAGTTCTTTTTTTTAACTTCCAACTTTTTTACACTTTAGAAAGGTTTTTCGGAGTTTTCTTCTTGAATGATTTCCTGTTTTGATTAAGACAAAATATCAACATTGAAGTAAACTTAGAATTGGGGTTGTAATTGAATTTTTTTTACCGCATATCGATTTAAAAAAATGAATTTTCGGAATTGAAAACTGATGTGCGCCTCTTGCTCTTGGGCAGGTGGTACTCGAGTGAACACGGTACTATATTTTGCAATTTCATTCTGTATTTTGAAAATGATGTATATTCTGTATGTGTTTTTTCTCCCCGTTGCCTCACTGGACCCTTTTTCAGTTCAAATAAGTGCTCGTGGATGTCTCATTTAAAATCTGGTCTTGTTCTCAGGCTTTCCAGGTTTCCAGTTCAAGTGTCTGTCAGATGATTCGAATTTTTTATTTTTCTTTCCCCCTATTCTCAGGGAAGAGCATGTGGCGTACCAACCAACTGTCCTGTTCAAGCGCACTAAGCACCACAAGGGAAGCATTTACTGTCTGGCCTGGAGCCCAATGGGTGACCTGATTGCGACTGGTTCGAACGACAAGACGGTGAAACTCATGCGTTTCAACGCGGACAACTGCAATATCGAAGGTTCGTCTTGAACCGTTTTCTGTTGTGCACCTCGGGCAAGTTTTTATTTGAATCGATGAGGACAGTTCAATCACGAACTGAATCTACAGTACTTTCTTTTGACTCGCTGTCAACTAATGCATTTTATTTTATGCTCTCAATGTATAGCGAAGGTCGAATTTTTTGAAAAGGGGAAGACGTGATTGGTGACATATAGAGATGTGGGGAAATTTCAACTAGGAATGAAATTTAAAACTTGATACATTTCTTCGACGTTGAAGCGAAACTTCCTGGGGTGAAACTGACGTCAATATTCTTCGAATATTTTTAAATTTGTAGATTAGAAGGAAGTGCGTTGAGGAATTCCTGTTTTACGTCCGTTTGTCTTCATGCTCTTGATTGAACCGAAAATCGACGCGAAAATCTCTTTAAAAAAAAAAACGAAGAATGTCACTAATTTTCCATTTGCGCACTTCACCTTCATCTTGGAGCACTGGGTGATTAGGACTAACGTTGTAGTTACTGTCGCAGTAATTGACCCTAAAACTGGCGTCCTTATTTGTTTCAAGGGTTTTCTTTCGGTGATTGTAAATTCGTAGCTTTCATGGTGATGAAACTAGAAAAGCTTTTTCGGGCAGCTCTCGTTTTCACAGCCGTTTGGTGATCTGGGTCGACGTCGAGGTGGTTTCTTTAACAAAAGGAGAGGACAATGAAAAGCGACCTCCGCCT